GGTATCATAAGTGAGATAAGTCTTGTGAAGAGTGTGAGATTGTGGTGTATATTCAAAGGTGAAATAATTGAGATGGCTTCATCTGTAGATGGGAATGACAACAAAACCRRCATCATGCTTTCTCCAAATTATCTAAGTGTTCAAATGACATCCATCAAGTTGAATGGTGAGAACTATGTACCATGGGCAAAATCTGTGAAAGTAAAACATGTGAGGGAGGAGAAACCTCCCTCTGATTCTCCTGGGTTTAGTGATAGGGAACAAGATGATGCACAGATAATGACATGGCTTTGGAACAGCAGTGGCCCTCCATACAACCGTGGTAGACACATGTTTAACCGGGCTAGTGGCCGAACTGTAGGCCGAGAGTCAGGGGAAGGCCGAGGAAAAGGAAAGAGTAATGCTCAGAGAAAATGTACACATTGTGGCTTAGAGGGGCACACAGTTAATTTCTGCTATGATTTGTGTGGTCCACCCAACACTTGGGCAAACCATGCTACATCTAAGAGGGTCAGCTAGGACAGTGATTTTATGAATAAAATTGTCTTTCTTGTAACTCTAAGTTTTATGAATAAAATTCAAGTGGGTCAGCTAGGACAGTGATTTTTCACATTCTCTCTTCTAGACTGGCCGAACACTCTTCTTCTCTCCTTCTTCTTCTTTCTCTTTTCTTTCTTCTTTCTTCTTCTCTACTTTGACCTAGAATCAATCACAGTACTATTACAGCAAAGGTATCCAATGAAGGACATCATGGTCAGCAATCGGACATGTGCACTAATTCCAAAACCAAGGCATTTGCAAATAAACTTGACCTCAGCATTCTGGTGGCAACTGTTTACTCTAATACCTAGAAGGAGCTAGCAAATATGAAGCATTGAGGAGAAGTTGCAATGGCATAGTATGTTTTGGTATTATTGTTCTGAGTAGTCTTTTATCTTTATCATAAGGGAAATGGTATATGGATGTCTAGGGCAGGGGCTAGCTACAAATCTTTCCATGAAATATTGTGGGTTGAGCCGTTTGGGAGAATATCTGTTAAACAAGAAGAAGAAAAAGAGATTTTCAACCATGATGAGAGTATGAAATTACCCATCAAGTGTTTCAAAAAAATTTGAAAGAAAATTATGGTAAATACTTAAATATGGCCAGAAAAAACGCTTCTATTCTTACCCAATAGTAGAAGCCTCAGAAGCTTGGACTGAACACATCTCCTTATAGAAAACTTAATTGAACAAAGCTGAAGCAGACAGAGAGCAAGACAAACAGACTGACCGTTTGCTGGACAGAAACCCTAGACTTCAAACAATAAATGAGTTGTGCTTTGGAGTCGCTAGATATGTACAATTCAATCCACTAAATGTATTGAAACATTAAATCTGGACCAGTTCAATCCAATACAATATATTGGACCATACAGTCCATTTTAATTGTGCTGTCCATTGACAGACCTTAATATGAGCTTCTCATTAGTTGTGATATTGTGGCATGTTGATGGTCATTACTTGTTAGTTTAAAACTAATTAATTTTTTGTAAAAAATATTAATGTCAGTTAAATTGCAGGATGGGTTCATTCCAATTAACCTTAGCACTCATAATAACAGCCGGTCTAATACCATTTCCTGAATCTTCATCTAAATAAATATCAAGCATATTTTCTGTAACCTTATGTGCTTCTGAATTTATAATGGTCTGCTAATCTTAAAATGGTTGATCAATATCTCCTTTTGAATGAGAATAATATATGAAGTAATGATTCATAGGAACCAAGATCAAAACAATACAACTAGGGGTGCAAGTCAGGCTGGGTTAAGTCAGGTTGAGGTCAACCCTAACCCAATCTGAAGTTTTCAGGTTAGGTTGGTCTCGGGTTGGATTCAGGTTGGCCTGACTGTTCTACTTCCTCTTGCCACATGTTCTTATTTCCTAGCCTCATGGGTTGAGGTCAACTCAGTTTTAGCATTATTATATATAAAAAGACATAGTTATCATGGTTTAACAAAAATTTGCCTTTAAACTTAAACTATTGGGATACATATACACATGCACAGATACATACATAAATATAAATAGATAGATAGGGTAGACAGATACATGCATACAGACACATAAAATACATATACATTTATGGATGCATAGTTACATAGATACATACATGCAAACAAAGACATGCATACATATATACATAAGTACTTGCATAAATACATGTTTATATAACATTTAAAAATACAAAAATGAAATCAAGTCAGATTCAGGTCAAGTCAGATCGGCCAAGGCCTCAACCAACCCAACCCAAAGTTAATTTAGGGGAGCAAATGGACTGGATCATGATCCGAACCGAATTCAAACTTGATCCTACTTTTGTCGGATTCGGATCACCCCCCATCCGATCCTCTATGTGTGTGTGTGTGTGGGTTATTTATAAATATGTTTATATTGAATTTTTATAATTTTTTATATTATTTATTTTTTATAAAAAGATGTGTATATATATGATAAAATAGTTGAAAAAAATGCTTGTATTTTTCTATAGACTGTTATATTTTTCCTTTTAATAATTTGTAAAATTTTACAGAAATTAAATCGGGTCGGATCATATTCAGATATCCAACATCCTTAACAGAATCGAATTCAGATTGCCCTTTGTGAGATCTGTTCGGATCTTCGGATCATATTGGATATAAAATTTATATTATTTGGATCAGATTCAAATCTGATCCAATCTGTTTGCATCCCTAGTTAAATTGGATTCAAACTTTTGACCCTAACCCAATCTTCAACACAACCAAACCTAACCTGGCCCAAGTTGCATCCCTATATACAGCTGAACTAGTTTTACACTATTATTCATTTAAAATACCAAATAACAGAGTTCAAGTCAAAATCTCATTTACCTACCCATGTAAGTTGCCCATGCGAGCCCAGGCAAGGAATGCAGGTCCCCCAAAGAAATCATTCAAATCATTCTTACTGATATTAAAATTCTGCGATCAAAAGGAAAGAATCAGAAAGAATAAATCAAAACAAAACTTTTCATGGAACAAAGAGACCTTATCAAGGCTGAAAGCGATAGCATATCAAGAGTTTGGATGCTGAGAGGAATCCCTGTTGATTTGATGCTACATTAGTAGCATTCTATATCACTCGACCTCTACCAGCTAGGGTTGTGGCTACTCATATTCCTCAAATCAAGAAACCATAAAAACAAGATTCTAATGGATGCTCTCTAGGTAAGCAACCACTCAGAAATTCAAAGGAAGTTAAGAGATAGCAGAGGAGAGGCCAACTTGGTTAATTCCAGCCCAATAGGAAAGGGTGAATCAGTCCAAGAAAATATGTTATCAGTAATCCCAACTTCAAAGTCTCAGAGTTTTCTTTTTTATGGACTTTTCCAGCTTTGGTTGAGTGGGACTCAGAGTATCATCATGTGGATGTCTGACCCCTCCAGCAATTCCTGGAGGTTGAGTAATTTTATGTCCACATTGTTGAAAACGCCATTATTCTTAATACTGACATATGCTGATTCAATGTCTAAATTTTGTATTAGGTCTTCTTGAGTATTGCTCTCTTTATAATATATGTTATATGCATCCATTCCTAACTGCTCTTGTTAAATGGTGCTTCAGCCACATATGGAAATAACAAAAGAAATTATTTGAGCATGGTGCATGACAACACCCAATGTATCTAGCAGCTACAGTCCATTTCTTGTGAATAACAGGAACTTGTCTTTTAATCCTTAAATAAAAACATATAAACAATGAAAAGGAAGATAAGTATCAATCCAAAAAAAATGAAAGAAAAGATAGTAACCACACAAATTAATCCACATTAGGTTGGCAATGTCATGTGACATCTAGGAACAACAAAAATATTAAATCAAATATTTATAGGAAAATTAGTCATCAATCTCATATGCAACATATTTTACTATGTAGCAATGCAGCAGCTGCAACCAACAGACTTAAGCTTCTTAATGAACTTATTGAGAAAAAGACCAGCATACGTTAAATTTAACCATGAGAGAAAATTCAGTGCAACCTCAAATACTAGAACATAGAAGTATATCTGATAGATTCATCCAGAAGAGTGTATGGCAAGGACATCTTTGAACACCAACAAGTACAAGCTAAATCATTTTGTGCTAGGAAAACAGGATATGAATGAATAATCATACAACCTCTAAAACTTTCTGCCAAATGGTCTCTTGTCCTGTAAATGCCAAAGGCAAGTTAACCCCTTGAAGAGCCATCCAGTCTATTTCTTTTTCCCATCTTTCCCAATCCCACCAAACAAAGGAATCTGCAAACAACTCATTGTTAGCACATCTGAAGAAAAGCTGTGTATACTCATTTCCTTGATAGTAATAAATATGAAAAATATAACACTGAGCAAAAGGAACCAGAAGAAAAGCAGTCCCCAATAAAGAAATAAGAAGTCTGATTAAAAAAGGTGAAGAAACAAAAAGAAAACAACAAGAAGAGAAGAAGAGGAAGAGAACAATTGAGGAGAAAGGGGTGAAAGAGATGAGTTGTTCATACACTCTCTCCTTTCCCTAATCCTTTTCATTAAAAGATTAATCACTAATAATCAGAAGTTACAAGTAAGCCCTTAGTGGGGCAGCTAGCTAATTAAAACATAAGATGTTAATGCTAGCAGGCCCATTAACAAAACAGAACATAAACAAAAAATAAATAAAAACACAACTGTGGGCTATGGATCATTTGGCCCATCTTCTTTACACTCCCCCTCAAGCTGTGCATATATGTCAATCATGTCCAGCTTGCTTGTGTCATGTTGTAGCTTCGCCTTGGAGACTCCTTTGGTAAGAATATCAACTAACTGTTCTTCAGATGCAACTAAAGGTAGACAAACTTCTCCAAAAGCCACTCTTTCTCTGATGAAATGCCTATCAACTTCAATGTGCTTCGTTCTATCATGTTGTACGGGATTGTGGGCAATGTTAATAGCAGATTGATTGTCACAATACAGCACCATTGGTCTATCATACTCAACACCCAATTCCTCCATCAGAGACCGAAGCCAAAGCAACTCAGAAACTCCATGAGCCATAGCTCTATACTCTGCCTCAGCTGAAGATCTAGCAACCATTGATTGTTTCTTGCTCCTCCAAGAAACAATATTACATGTAACCATACTACAGTACCCCGAAGTTGAGCTCTGATCATCAATGTTGCCTGCCCAGTCAGTATCTATATAGGCTTCTAGTTTCATGTGGCCATGCTTAGCAATAAGAATACCTTTCTCGGGAGTACTCTTCAAGTAACATAAAATCCTCTCTGCTGCTACTTTATGTGTATCTCTGGTGCATGAATGAACTGGAAAATGCAACTAACAGCATATGCAATGCTAGGGTGAGTCATACGTAGATATAGCATTTTCCCAAGAAACCTTTGAAACACTCTCTTATCCTTCAATAGTTCTCCATCAGAAGCAGAAAACTTGTGACTCGTATCAATAGGGGTAGCCACCGGTCTTGCTCCCATTTTACCTGTTTCAATGAGCAAGTCTAGCACATATTTGTGTTGGGATATGAAGATGTCATCTTTAGATCGAGCCACTTCAATACCTAAGAAATACCTCAATTCTCCTAGATTTTTGATCTCAACATCCACATTGAGGAAGGCTTTAAGATTATTAATCCCTGTCACATCAGTGCTAGGCACTACAATGTCATCCACATAGACTATAAGATATACCATTAATGACCCACTCCTCTTCACAAAGAGGGTATGATCAGACTGAGTCCGTGTGTAACCAAAGTTAACAAGAGCAGCCCTAAACCTCTCAAACTAGGCTCTAGGTGACTGTTTGAGCCCATTGAGAAACTTCTTCAGTTTGCACACCTTGTTGAAGATTAATCAGTTTCATGATGTTTTTCTGAGTAGATGTTTTATGTTAGTTGTTAGATAGGAGGCGGGAACCACAGTAGTTATGTGAGTCCAAATTTTATTATGTTTTTGAGTATTATATATGTTGTTTTATGTTTTGCCGCCCTGTAAGGGCAAAGTTGTCTTTGTACTGTTCTATTATTTTTAAGTGAAGGGGGCGGCCAGATGATTGCTCTCTTTTCTTTTCAACTTCTTTTCTTCTCTTCATCTCCTTCTCTCTTCAAGAAACTACTTTTCTTTCATATTTTTTAATTCGGTAGATTTCTACTTGGTATCAAAGCATCGGCCAGGGTTTATTGAAGCATTCTCATGCAGCCCTAGATCAGCCAAATGCATGAAGTAGTAAAGGGCTGATTGATCTGCTATAGATTGCCCAGTTCTTGGATTTTTTGGTGGAATCTAGTCATCAGGAAGGTGAACTATTGTTCGGCATCAAAATCAAGAAGAATTAGAGTACGGGGAAGAGTCCTAAAAATGTTGGACTCTTTGTTTTTTATCTGATCTTGGGCACCCAGGTATTGTTAGTTTTCTTTTGTTTTTCTGAAGAAGGCGGTTTGGTTTCTAGAATTTTCTAAGCCTCCCGGAATGATCGATTCACTTTTCTCTTTGTAGGGAGGCATGGGGAGGAGAGAGATTTCTCTCCAGCTAGGGTTTTCTTCTTCCGGAAGGGTTGTTTCTGTGTGYGTGATATTAAATTATTTTTTGAAGGTCTCCAATCTATTTTTTCTTATTATTGAACTATTTCAAGTAAGATGGAGAGTTGGAATACCGAGATGAAATCTACCAGTACTATGGGACTAGGTGTTAGATGTAGTAGTGAAATTTTTGGGTCTGGGATCATTACTACAGTAAAACTTGATGGTACAAATAATTTGGAGTGGGCACAATCAGCTAAGATGGCTATAGGTGCCCATGGAAAATTAGGGTATCTCACTGGAAGGAGAAGAAACCAGATACAGACTCTTCCCGATGGGTGCAGGAGAATTACATGGTAATGTCCTGGCTGGATAATTCTATGTTACCTCCTATTGCAAAAAATTTCCTATGAGCTAATACTGGTAAGGAGATTTGGGATGGAGTGACCGAAACCAACTCTCATAAGCAAAATGAGGCCAGAGACTATCAGTTAAGAAATCAGGTGATAAGTATGAAACAGGGAGAAAAACCTCTTGTTGTGTATTTCTCTATGCTAAAACCCTATGGCAGGAAATAGATCGCTTAGAAACTGTGGTATGGGAAAATGTAAATGATGCAACAACTTATCACAGACTAGTAGAGAGGAATAGGGTTTTTGAGTTCTTGGCAAGGTTGAACCCTGAATTTGACATTACTAGGCAGCATATTCTTTCTAGGGAGGGTGTGACACTCTCTCAGGCCTACGCCTTTGTCTCTGGAGAGGAGAGTGGAAGAATGTAATGCTGAGACAGCCTGGGATTGACCAGTCGGCTATGGTTGGTACAACAAAACCTAAGCCGAATGGGGACAGGGGGGAATAGTGAGACTAGAAGGGAAGATAAGGACTTGGAGTGTGATTATTGAAGCCAAAGCATACTAAGGACAATTGTTGGAAGCTTCATCCAAATCTTATGCCTGATCGGATAAAAAACAAGAAGGGAAATGCAAATGTAGCCACTACATGAGACTCTTCAACCCCTCTTTCCCAAAGTGATTGGGAATCCATTGCAGTAGCAGCAATGAGAACAGATTTGGACAGATTTGGACAGCTTATGAGTAAGAAAGATTCACCTAGCTCTAACCTTCTAGATGGACAGCAGAATGCAGGAGCCAACTACACCACTTCCTTTGCACATACAGGTAGTTCATATGTAACTGCAAATCTTGCATCCACTTCAGGTAAGGAAGGACCACCCTGGATTATAGACTCAGGAGCATCTAAGCACATGACTAATGCCCCTACCCTTTTCAGTTCCTATTAGTGGTGCTCTGGTAGACACAGAGTCTCTACAACAGATGGTTCACATATGCCCATTGCTGGGAAGGGGACAGTTAGAGTGACCAATGATATAATTTTGTCTTTTGTTTTACATGTCCCTAGACTTCATACCAACCTACTGTCTATTAGTTCTTAGACAAAAAATTTGAATTGTTTCGTGATCTTTCATCCTGGTAATTGTGTTTTGCAAAATCTGGAGTCAAAGAAGATGATTGGGAGTGGTCGTGAGGTGAATGCAGTCTACCTTCTAGATGAAATTCTAAGACATCAGGGCCATCATGTTAACAGCAGCAATTGTAGTAGGTCAGAGTCGGTGAACCAGATTATGCTTTCGCACAATCGCTTGGTACATCTTTCTTTTAGTTCTTTGAAATGTCTTTTCCCAAAGTTGTTTGAGTCTATTCAATCATCTACTTTGGAGTGTGAGAGTTGTCGGTTAGGAAAGTATTGTAACAGTCTTTCAAACCAAGTAATAAAAGAAATATTTCTACTTTTAATATTGTTCACACTGATGTATGGGGGCCATATCATATCCCTTCCATGAGAGATGATTCTATTACTTTCTCTTGTTTGCGGATGATTATACACAATATTCTTGGATATATTTGATGAGATCACGTGATGAGGTTCCTAACTTGGTACGACAGTTCCACCAGATGGTTCTCACACAATTTGGAGTGAGAACTAAGGCTTTTAGATCAGATAATGCAAGAGAGTACTTTGAGAAGGACCTGACCACGTATCTCTTAGAACATGGTGTAATTCATCAAAGCAGTTGTGCATATGCACCACAACAGAATGGCGTTACTGAGAGGAAAAACAGACACATTGTGGAGGTGGCAAGGAATCTTTTGGTGTGTGCTTCAGTTCCTGTGCAGTTCTAAGGAGATGTAGTTCTTACAGCCATGCATTTGATTAGCTGTGTTCCTTCACGGACTTTGGGGTTTAAAGTGCCATTTAGTCTTCTTTTTCCAAATGGGGAGATATTTCATATACCTCTGAGGGTTTCTGGCTGTGTTTCCTTTGTTCACATTCTTGGCCCTCATCGCAAGAAATTGGATCCTAAGGCCAACAAATGTGTTTTTCTTGGGTATGCTCAAAACCAAAAGGGGTATTGCCGTTATGACCCAGTGTCGAGGAGCAAATTTGTCACTATGGATGTTACCTTCTTTGAATCCACCTTCTTCTTCTTGAGTGGTTATCCTCAGGGGGAGAGTTTTGGGGAGGAGAACTCACAATCTGTTCCTTTTCCTGTTTCTTTGGTGCCTCCATCAGTTCAGCCAGCACCTGCACCTCCAGTTTCATTACCTGACCCACTACGGGCAGCCTCACAGAAATATCAGTGCCGGCAGATGATGGTTGACTCCACACATCCTCAACCCACACCACTCTCTGTTAGTCCTTCTGAAACTCCAGATTTAGCAGATACAGTTCTA